TTATATTATTTTATATTATTTTATATTATTTTATATTATTTTATATTTTATATTTTATATTTTATATTTTATATTTTATATTTTATATTTTATATTTTATATTTTATTTGTTTGTCAAACATGTGCGAGATAACAAGTCTAGGTATGAACATAAACGAACAAAGGAAGTAAATACAGATAAAAGGGGGACAGTAAGACAGGACCCCAATGTTCTTAGAACAGAAGAACAGAGTTGGAAGGGACCTTGGAGGTCTTCTAGTCCAACCCCCTGCTCAAGAAGGAGACTCTATGCCATTCTGGACAAAAGGCTGTCCAATCTCTTCTTGAAAACTTCCAGGGATGGAGCCCCCACTGTCAGAGTATAGTCATAAACTGGAATTGAGCTTTGTAACAAGGTCAGCCAATGAGAGTCTGAGCTGAGGGCTGAAACTTCAAGAGAGAACCTGGGTGTGGTGGTTTATCTCTGTTCTGTGCTCAGCTCTAAAGTGAAAGAGAAACTAACTTCCTTGTCTGCTGAAGTTGAGTTGCTGTTCTGCTCTGAACCTGTAACGCGTCTGCTTCTCTTTGACTTTGCTCCATGTTGGAGAAATCTACAACTGGTATTGTAAAATTTACTTAATATGTTTATAAAGAAGTTAAGTGAAGCCTGTGTTTAATGTGCCTGTGTTTACTTTTCTGGCCCTGAATTTATGCTGCAAAACTCTTGAATAAAACTCTGAACCACCCACAGCTTCTGGAAACAAATCATTCCACAGATTGATTGTCCCCACTGCCAGGAGGATTCACAACTTCTGGAGGCAAGTTGTTCCACGGGTTAATTGTTCTCACTGTCAGGAAATTTCTCCATAGTTCTGAGTTGCTTCTCTTCTTGGTTAGTTTCCATCCGTTGCTTCTTGTCCTGCCTCCAGGAGCTTTGGAGAATGGATTGACTCCCTCTTCTTTGGGGCAGCCCGTGAGATATTGGAACACTGCTATCATGTCACCCCTGGTCCTTCTTTTCCCTAGACTAGACACCCCCAATTCATGCAACCATTCTTCGTATATTTTATCCTCCAGTCCCCTGATCATCTTGGTTGCTCTTCTCTGCACTCTTCCTAGAGTCTCAACATCTTTTTATATCCTGACGACCCAAACTGGAGAGCAATAGCAATAACACTTAGATTTCCAATATCTCAGGGGCTGCCCCAAAGAAGAGGGGGGGTCCACTTATTCTCCAAAGCCCCTGAAGGTAGGACAAGAAACAATGGATGGAAACTAATCAAGGAGAGAAGCAACCTGGAAGTAAGGAGAATTTTACTGTCTGTTAGAACAATTAATCAGTGGAACAGCTTGCCACCAGAAGTGGTGAATGCCCCAACACTGGAGGTTTTAAAGAAAAGATTGGATAACCCTTTGTCTGAAGTGGTGTAGGGTTTCCTGCCTAAGCAGGGGGTTGGACTAGAAGACCTCCAAGGTCCCTTCCAGCTCTGATTTTGAGAGGGCCATCCTGAACTCAGCAAATGGCTTCAGTTGAAGCTATTGTCTTAGACTGTTGATTATTGATGATATGGTAGGTGGTTGGTACCTTATTTGCATTGGTAGCTCAGTAAACTTCATCAAATGCTATACCTAAAATTAAAAGTATCTTTGTCCTTGTGTCTCCATTTTCCCTTCTTCTCCTCCTTTCTTCTTCTCCTTCTCCTTTTCTCCATTTTCCTTCCTTCCTTCTTCTTTATTTCTTTTGTGCTTTCTCCTTGTCTCTTCCTTTTCCTTCCCCCTTTCTCCTTCTCCTCCTACTCATCATCTTCACCTTCCTTCTTCTCTCTTTTTCTCTCTCTCTCCTTCTCCTTCTCCTTCTCCTTCTCCTTCTCCTTCTCCTTCTCCTTCTCCTTCTCCTTCTCCTTCTCCTTCTCCTTCTCCTTCTCCTTCTTCTTCTTCTTCTTCTTCTTCTTCTTCTTCTTCTTCTTCTTCT